ATATCAAGTTCCAGGCCAGCAAACGCTAGTGAGGCCGTGTCTAAAAAAAAAGAAAGAAAAAGAAAACCCTGAGGTCATCATTCTTTAGTAGAGAATTATTTTGATTTCTAAATTTGGTGATGTGCTTTTTTCGTTATGTAAAATATGTAATTCTACATATTCAAGTGATTCTGTCCATTAACAAATGAGAACAAATTCCCTTACATATAAATGAATTTTAAGTCCATTAACAAAACCCTGCCATTGGCTTATCAGTAGACTTTTCAACATTATTAGTTAATTCTAGAACTTCCTTTTTACTTTTTTTTTTTTTTTTTACAAAGGTAATATTGGGCTATGGATATGGCTGAGTGTTTGCCTATGGTCTATTTGCTAGCACCAAAGCCATAAGTATTAATTTAAAAAACTATTAAAAGTGTGTCGAGTACAAGCTTCAGCACTTACTTCTAAGGGTCTATTTTATTATCTAAAAATTGCTACATGATTGATTGATGTCTTTCTGGATTATTTTTATTACATTATTCAAGTTGTTAATTTTTTAAAAATCCCTTTGCATTTTTTGTTTTGCTTCTGGATTTAGTAAAGTGTGTACTTTATCAAAAGCAGATCATATTACTCAGCAATTCTTACTAGAACACATGTATACTTCTGACATCTATACACAAAGCAATGTGAGCATGTAGATTTTCAAGTTAATATTCCAAGAATCAGATGCATAAGATTTTGCACCAGGAATTTTAATAAAAGTCCTCCTCTGCCCCATTTAAAAATGGTTTGGCTATGAATGCAAATCTGATGTCTAACCAAAATTCAGGTATGCTATAGTCTGTAAATGTCACCAAATCATTGAATGGCACCAAGCACGTGCCTCTCGGAGCACAGCAAAATTTATAAAAATTGAAAATCAGAATCTCAGCTAAATGATCAAATGGTATCTAGCACCTAGGAAATCAAGTTAAGCTAAAATCTGTAGTCTGTGTTAACATATTCAATTTGAAAACTGCCATTTCACATTCCTGGGGGTATAGGGCTGCGGCAGACACATGGCCTAGGGGTGGGGGTTGGGAAGGGAAGAGGCCCTTTTTTTTTTTTTTTCTTTCCTTTCCCTCCTAAAAACTAAACATGTTTATTTTCAGAGGTGGACTCGGGTAGGAGGCAAACATCCAAAAGGCCTACTACTGAGCCTTCGGGGCCGGTCCCAGCGGGGCTGCCGACGCCGGCTACTGGCCCGGCGAGCAGACGCCACGGCCGCCCGCGCGGCGCCGACGACTGAGCCGGGCCGGGGGCGGGGGGCTCGCACGTGCCCGGCGGGGGCGGGGCGGCGAGCGGCGACCCCGGCTCCGGGAGGCGGGCGCGGCCGGGTCGGCCTCCCCCGCGGCCGGCAGCCAGCTGCGGTGGACGAAGGTGCGCGTCACGGAACCGATGGAGCCACACAGAGACGTCTAAGTCATGCAGGAGGCGCCCGGCCCCGGCCCGCTCCCGCCGCCCCGACCCCTCCTCTCATCCGACAGAAAGACAGACAAGAAGGGTTCCCGACCTGTCGTGCCCTGCATGTTCAGAGTCTGTCATGTTTGGTCAAGAACGGGGCGGGGCTGGAGGGCAGGTCTGGAGGCCGGCGGCGGCGGGGCGCGGGGAGGACCCCTGCGCCGCCTGCGGGCACCTGTTCCCGGCCGCCGCCGACAGGTGACGAAGTGGTAAAAACTCACGGTTACTAGTGAGCGACACAGACACAGTCTATTAACAACCACGCCAGAGAGATGGGGCTCTAACTGCAAAGACTGGGCAACGGCCCCGCGCTGCCGGCGCTGCCGCTCTAGTCTGTATTCGCCGCCGGAGGCTGAGGCGTGGGAGCCGGCGGGTGGCGCGCAGCGAAGCGGGGATTTGGACAGTGGCCGTAACGGTGATTTCTCCTCACCAACATGGCGGCACCCGAGACAGGCGGCTCGGAAAATGGCGCCGGCCGCAACACCTTGCCCGGGACTAAAGGGCAAGTGAGATTCCTCCGCCAGCCGCCGCCCTCTCCCTGCCCGCCGGGGCTGATTGCCTTGGCCATTGGAGGAAACTACCCGTCAATCACCTCCAGGGGTGGGCTTTTGATACCCTAGCCGCAGCAGCGGAGGCGGCAATCTGATGGCTGGGAAGGGAGGCTAGAGATGCGGTCGGGTGGCGCTTGGAGTCACTTCGGGAGGGGCGGGCTACCCCTCAGTGCTTGCTGTGTCCACCATGTCTTCTGTGCCGGTTTCTCGGTGTCCCTGCGATATTCACCGTCCACGGGCTTGCGCTTCGGGGTTCCGGACGCATCACACAACCCTCTGCACCTATGCCACCGTTAGCTGCATGAGATAAAAAGGAACTGCCAGTTATCTTTGTGAAAAAGAAAACCTTTGTTGATGAAATCATCCTAGGCCCTCAGAATTGTTGCTGTTATCTATCCCCGTAATTAGTGCGCATTGGAGCAATAAGGAAGATTAGTTGGCATGCAACTTTTCTGATAGTATTAAATTCAATCATTACTTTACAGAATTAAACATAGCCGTTGAGTCCATTAAAATATGATCTTACGTCGATATTATGAAATAAAACAAGAACATGACAGTGCAATTTTGAAATGAGTTGTGTATACTTAGTTCTGAAGGACTGTTATGTTTTATTAAAATGAGCTTAAATGGGCTTGTAGTTGATACTTTTTTTTTTTTTTTTTTTTTGGTTTTTCGAGATAGGGTTTCTCTGTAGCTTTGGAGGCTGTCTTAGAACTCACTTTGTAGACCAGGCTGGCCTCGAACTCACAGAGATCCACCTGCCTCTGCCTCCCGAGTGCTGGGATTAAAGGCATGAGCCACCAACGCCCGGCGTAGTTGATACTTTTATATCTTTTTTCCTCTGCTTTTTGTCATGTTCCCATTACCCTGAGCTGGTCTTTTCTCCTTGGCTGGTGAGTAGCCTCCTTGGAGCACAAGTATTGTTGCTTGTGGATCATTTCTGTTTAGTCATAGAACAAAAGATTGTTTATCTTCTACCCAGACTAAGAAATCATCCTTCTTTCTAGACACGTTTTATTTGACCTCATTGTGTTTGGAATGACTTGAGTCATTCCATTGCAGCAGCGGGAGTCTTTCCTTTTTACCTGTTGATTCATAGACCCGATGAGCCCTGCGTGGAAAAACGGTAGTCTTAACTTGAAGCTGTGGAAAACTGTTATAGCTTTTAACAGACACCTTCCTGCTTTGGGAGTTAACCTCGAACCAGTGCCTTTGGACTAGGGATCATTCTCCTTCAGCTCCTCTCCCTCCATATTTGTCACAGGGAAATTTTTGCTTGCTAAGCTAATAAGTCGGTATTTGTTTGTTTAGACCTGTAAATTGATAAGTTTCATTAATTCTAGCAACGTTTTGGGCTTTCCAGAAAGCTCTTCCCCCTTCCTCGTGGTCTTTTTCTTCTCAGCATGTGATTTGTGATGTCAGGAGCAAGTACTACTGACATCTAGTGGTAGAAACAGCTTACTCTCCTTCAATCCAGCTGTAGTCCAAAGCAAAGAATTGTCAAACCCCAAAGGATAGTTGTGCTGAGGGATGGAGATGACTCTAAAATCTGCAGCTATGAGAAGGAAAGCAAACTGTTTCCTGGGGCACTACGAGGGGCCATGCAGAGCATCAACTCCCATTTGTACCCTAGATTCCCCGAACGGCGAGAAATGCAGCAGCCTTTGTTGATGATTACATACACCCTCAAGACAGTATACCTAGCAAATGCTGGAACAAAGTCTTCAAGAGGTCGTTGCACCCTCTCATCATGCCAGATACTTCCTTTTCTCTCTCGTTTTGTAAAATGTCATAAAGCTTGCCCTTCCATCCATTTTGAACCACACAATGCAGTGCTATTAGTTACATTCAGTTTATTGTGCACCATTCACTATTACCTGTCTCTAGACCTCAAACAGAAACTAATCACTCTTCAGCATTTGGTACCCCCATTTTGCTATAAATTAGAATTCTATAAATACTCTATAAATTAGAATATTCTAGATATTTGTCCTCATGAGTTTTGTTTATTTCATTTAGCATACTGGTTTATTTGTGTGTGTGTGAAGGTTTGAGACAGAGTCTCATGTAGCTGAGGCTGGCCTCAAACTTTCTATGTGGCCAAGACTGACCTTCAATACTCTCTCATTTTTTAGATATATTTATTTTATGCGTATGGATTCTTGCTTGAATGCACACCCAGTGCTCTCAGAAGTCAGAAAAAGGCATTGGGTCCCTTGGAACTCAGAGTACAGAAGCTTGTAAGCCACCATGTAGGTGCTGGGAATTGAACCTAGGTTCTCTGGGAGAGCACCCAGTGCTTTTCAACTGAGCCATTTGGGATCAATCTACTGAATACATGTGTAAACTTTTCGAATCTTTATTTGCTAATACTAATACCTGATGCTTTTCATGTGAATTTTATGCCTCCTCTGTTTGATTTCCTTTGTATCTGCTTATTTTTCCTTCTATTATGGGCATTCAATTTTTTAAGGTTTTTTGAGACAAGGTCTCTCTACATAGCTTTGGATGTCCTGAAACTCACTAAGACCAGGAAGGGCATTTCATTTCTTTCTTTCTTTCTTTCTTTCTTTCTTTCTTTCTTTCTTTCTTTCTTTCTTTTTGTTTTTGTTTTGTTTTTTGAGACAGGGTTTCTCTGTATTGTTTTGGAGGCTGTCCTGGAACTCGCTCTATAGATCAGGCTGGTCTGGAACTTACAGAGATCCACCTGCCTCTGCCTCCCGAGTGCTGGGATTAAAGGCGTGCGCCACCACCGCCCGGCTAATAATACACCTTCTTTAAAAAGAATTCATAAAGATTTTTTTAATGCCACTAGATTGCTACACTAGAGGCACGCAAAACCGCAAGGCCAGCATAGAGAACTGCGCATGTGCAGTGCAGGCACTGAGCGTGCCCTAGTGAGGACCGTGCATGCGTAGTGCGGGCGCAAGCTAGTGCCCCGGGATTGCGCGGAGTCGCGTCCAAGTGGCGCGTGCGCGGGGCGGAGCCTGCGGCCCTTGGCGCGACTCTAGGTTCTCCTTCGGCTCTGGTGGTTGCTCAGTAGCTGCTCGGCGTGGAAGGGGACGGTCCCTGTTTGAGTTATGGATTTTGAAAATCTTTTCTCAAAACCCCCCAATCCGGCCCTCGGTAAAAAACCTGTCGCCGACTCTGAGGAAAGGTGATCCACATGTTTTCGTCCTTTGCAGGGCACCGCCCGGGCTCCGCCCCCTCGCTCCTGGAAGCCGGGAGCCTGGGCTAGCGCGTGGGCGGAGGCCGGAGCGGAGAGGTCGCGAGGGGAAGTGGGATGGAAGTCAGAGTAGGGACCGGGGGCGAGGACAGTGACCGGGCGGCGGGAGGAGGCTCCGGCCTCTGCGAATCTGCCCCCAGGGGCCGGCTGCTCCCCTTGCACGTGCGCTTAACCTGTTTCCTGTCAAGTTTGAAGGATACAGAAACACTGCCCTGCCAGTGATCCTGAACCAAAAAGCCCAGAATAAAGCAGCAAGCACCATTTCGGCTTAGTATTTCCGGTAAATTGGAGAAGTATGTTGTTGTTAATCAATCTCGTACCTAGTGCAGAGTGTAGAATTTCTGTACAGGAACCCATTCACTTTTAAGTCTTCCGAGTTGAAAGCGCCCCCGCACCCCATCTTCTCTCCTAAACCCTTGTCTTCTATGTTCCTGCCTTGCCTCCTTACGAGTACATTTCTAGTGCTGGGTCAGAGCTGGTGGCACACCTTCAATCCCAGCACTTGAGAGGCCGAAGCAGGCAGATTTTGGGAGTCTGAGACCAGTCTGGTCTACATAGCAAGTTGCAAGCCAGCCTGGGCTGCTACCTAGTGAAACCCTATCTCAAGGGGAAAGAGAGTGTGTGTTCACTTCTCTGTCTCTGCCTTAGTGGGAACTATTACCCTCATTGTGCTACCCTCTAGGGCTTGACCGTGTGCTTCGTGTGAAATTTAGTCCCCACTTCAGCTTTAAGGAGAAAGTGATGCTTTTGTTTTACAGATGAGAATATTGAGGCATAGAGAGCGTAAGCCACCTGTCAAGATTGTGCAGTGGGGGTAGCAGATCTAAGATTAAGGTGCTCCGGTAGTGTGACTTCAGTACATATGCTTTCATGACCCAGCTTCGAAAGCACAATGTAGATTAAGACCTGTAGATACTGTGAAGAAATGGACAGAGATTACTTGCAGGCGGTAACATTTAAGAACAACAGAAATGAATTGATAATTTTAACTTGAGTGAGAACTGAGCAAGATTTTAAAAATAGCTAATTGTTTGAAAATATATTAGGCAAAATACCTGTTTACTAAAATTTGACTGAGAAGCCGGGAAGTGGTGGCGCACGCCTTTAATCCCAGCACTCGGGAGGCAGAGGATCTCTGTGAGTTCGAGGCTGGGCTGGACCAACAGCCTCGAAAACAACACAGAGAAACCCTGTCTCGTAAAACCCAAAAAAATAAAAAAATTTTTTGACTGAGATATGTAAGAGACACTGGGATTTGCCAAAAAATAGTTGAAGAATGGCATGGAAGTAAAGTATCTATTCATATGCTGCTTTTTACTTTGGCTTTAGGTCTTTTTCAAGATTTTAGATTTCTGTATTTTCCCTCAGTTTATCTTTTGATTTTTGCCTGTAGATTTTTTCAGTGCACTGACACATTTTTTGCTTTAATTTATGTGTATGAATTTTTTACCTGCATCTGTCTCTAAACCACATGTATGCCTTGCCCTTGGAGGCCAGAAGCGAGCAATGGACTTCATGAAGCAGGTGCTACTGATGTTTGTTAATCATCCTGTAGGTCCTGTAGGTCCTCAGGAAGAGCAGCCAGCGCTCTTAACTACTGAGCCATCTCTCCAACCTGATGAGAGTGTGTGTACAATCTTGCAAGTGAGTTCATCTTCAGGTTTCTGACTTTTTGCTCACAATGGGAATACTCATTCGTTTAAAACGATTTTTATTGAGTTCCTGCTACATAAGACACATTATTCTAGGTCATGATGATAGAACAATAAGTGGAATGCTGAAAAATACTAATGCTCATGAATTGTATATTGTTGAGGTGAATGATGGATACATGGTATTTCAAATGATAATGAAAGCCATGGGGTAAATGAAAACTGAATGAGGAGTTAAGTACTTGTGGAATAATGAGGATAGTGTAGATAGTATATAAAAAAGATAGTTAAGGAAAAGCCTTAACCGAAGTTACCAGTTTGGTTGTTAAGGGCAGAAATTTGGAGACTAGGATGTTGGAATCAGCTATATGCAGATGATATTAGAAGCCAGAAGACTGAAAGACATCACCAAGAATGAAAGTATAGAGAAAGAAAGGTTAGGACTGGCTTTGTTAACAGTTGGAAAGATGAGGAACCATCCGAGGAGATAAAGAAGTAGCAACTGGGCATGGTTTCACACCTTTGATCCCAGTACTAGGGAGGTAGAAGCAGATGGATTGGGCCAGTCTGGTCTACGTAGTGACATTGGTAGTTCCAATGCAATTTGCCCCCATAAGCTCATAGGGAGTAGCACTATTAGGAGATGTGGCCTTGTTGGAGGAAGTGTGTCACTGTGGGGGTGGGCTTTGAAGTCTCCCTTGCTCAAACTACACCCAGTGACAGTTCACTTTCTGTTGCCTTCGGATCAAGATGTAGAACTCTCAGCTCCTTCTTCAACACCATGTCTGCCTGCATGCTGCCATATACCGACATGATAATAATGGACTAAACTTCTGAAACTGTAAGCCACCAATTAAATGTTTTCCTTTATAAGAGTTGCTGTGGTCATGGTGTCTCTTCACAGCAATAGAAATCCTAACTGAGACAGACCCTATTTTTTAAAAAAAAGTAGCAGCAATAGGGGGGAAAAAGCAGGGACAGCTCAGTACCACTGGAGCTGGCTTACTAGCTAGCTCATGGGTGGGTCAAGAATTAGGACTGAGAATCATGGTCCCTAATGGAGCAGTGAAGTGGAGAGGGCAGTGTAGAATGACAGGGTGTGTTTAAGACACACTTATCCAGTTTCTGATGCTTTCCATCCCTTCATCTTGGGTTCATTTTTCTGTTAGAACAGTGGTTCTCAACCTTCCTATATCCCTTTAATACAGATGCTCATGTTGTGGTGACCCCCAACCATAAAATTATTTTTGTTGCTATTTTATAACTGTAATTTTGCAACTGTTACGAACCATAATATAAATAACTGATATGCAGGATATCTTAAGGGGTTGTTACACACACACACACACGCACGCATGCACGCACGCGCGCGCGCGCGCACACACACACACACACACACACACACACACACACACACACACAGCCTGGCTGAGAACCAACGTGCTAGAGTATGCTCAGTAATTGCCTCACAATATCTATGCATGGTCAGTTTCTCATGCATGAGTCTGAAAAGTGTTTCATCTTCACGTTTGGGTGTTTGTCTCCTAACTTCCAAAGACCTCCTCGTTTTACTTGGCATACCCTTCTCTTTTACATTCCTTTTTGATAATTCTTCCATAATTCTGTTTAGAAAACCCCAAATCTAACATAAGAACAAAGTGTTCTTTATATGTGTGCCTGTATTATTTCTGTATTATTAGAAAGCTCTCAGGAGGTAGGGACAACTTGTCTTTTTCATTGTTGTACCTCATGATATGAGGCCATAGCCTGACATGTGGTGAACACTTAGGATGTACTGAATGACTGGAATGATGAGTGAACGGAGATAAATGTATGTATATGCATGTATATGTAATTTTTAAGCATTAAGATTATGTAATAAGTTTCAGTTTTATAGGTTGTTTATAAATATTAACATCATCATTGCATTGTTGTTGTTCTGAAACAGAGTCTCACTATGTAGCCCTGACTAGCGTAGACTACACTTGTTGTGTAGACCATTCTGACCTCAAACAGATCCACCCTTGCCTCCTGAGTGCTGGGATTAAAGGACTGCTCCACTATACCTGGCCTACATTGTTGTTTTTATTAATGTTGTTGTTTTGAATAGACTTTGAATTTGCAGTTTATCTTAAGACAAACCCAAGCAATGAGTTTTAATGCTCTGCAATAAACACTTTTGTGTTGTTTTTTTTTTTCACTGCAGAACTGATGATGAAATAGCTGGTGCTGAAGTTGAAGAAAGGCAGACAGAGAAAGTAAAACGGAAAGCCAAGCGGGACTGTGTACAAATTCCCAAGAAAGTAAGGACAGACAGCTTTGGATGGATGTGAGAACATGAGGGATTCTGCTTGTCTCATTATATCCAGCATTTAGGGCCCAGTTACTTTGGTCAAGTAAACTCAGAATCATCTTTCAGTAACTTTCTTACCTTGTGGCTTGAACCCCCCCACCATCAGATGGAGAATGTGCCAGTGTTGTAACAAGATTGATTTCCCATTTCTTTTTTATTTTTATTTTTTAAACTTTTTTATTTATTTATGTATCTTTTTAGGTATCACTGCTCTGTCTGCATGTATCCCTGCAGGCCATAAGAGGGTATTAGATCTCATTACAGATGATTGTGAGCCACTATGTGGTTTGCTGGGTTTGAACTCAGGACCTCTGGAAGAGCAGTCAGTGCTCTTAACCTCTGAGCCATCTCTCCAGCCCGACTTACAGTTCTTTATGAGTAGTTTTTGGTTGTCATTCTTGTGTGTTATGTGTCACAGATACCTGCTCATTTTAGTTTTTTTTTGTTTGTTTGTTTTTGTTTTTTGAGACAGGGTTTCTCTGTGGCTTTGGAGACTGTCCTGGAACTTGCTCAGTAGACCAGGCTGGCCTCAAACTTACACAGATCCACCTGCCTCTGCCTCCCAGGTGCTGAGATTAAAGGCGTGTGCCACCAATGCCCGGCTCATTTTAGTTTTTTTCTTCCATCCAGTGATAAGTGGTTTTAAGAATATGGTCTTTGTGTATTGATGAACATATTTTCTTATATTACCTTCTAAAGCTTTGTTTTACCTTTCACATTGAAATTTGTAATCATGATGGGGTGCAGGCAACCATTTCTTTATTTTGTTATTATCATACCTAATTGTTCCAGGACCATTCATTTATCAGTAAAGTGCTGTCTTGTCCCTGTGGTTTTTACATTGTCACTTTTGTTAAAATCAAGTGTGTATGTTCAGTCTTCTCAACTATCAACTATCTGTTCTTGTCCTCTGAGTTCCTTTCCCAGTAGAGTTAATTATTGCAGTTTTATAATAATTTGGTGTTGTATAAGCAAGTCCTGGCACCTTTTTTTTTTTTTTTTTTTTTTTTTTTTGGTTGGTTTTTCAAAACAGGGTTCTCTGTGTAGTCCTTGTTATTCTGGAACTCACTCTGTAGACTGGGCTGGCCTCAAATTTGGGGATCTGCCTGTCTCTGCCTCTCAAGTGCTGGGACTGAAGGTGTGCACCAAATCACAGCTGACTTGGCTATTTCTGAGACATAGGCCTATCTATGTAAATTTAAAATCAGTTTGTTGGGTACCACAGAAAGTCTTGGTAGGATTTTCATTGGGAATAGGTGAAATTTATAGATTATTTAGAGGGGAATTGGAATATTTAGGATAGTATACAGTCTTTGTCTTGAATTTTTCTAAGCATTTTCTAAGCTCATTGAGTATGAGCGTTGGCAGAAGCTTATGTGTGTGTGGAAGTATGTAAATATGTGTGCGTGTACACATGTGAATACATTTGTAGGCCAGTGGTTGATTCAGGGATCTGTCTGTCTCTATTTACTAGTGCTGTCTCCTAGTGTTACATATGAGGCCACCAGACCAGCTTTTACATGGGTGCTAGAGATCTGAACTTGAGTTCTTGTGCCTGCATAGCAGGAAGTTTACTGACTGAACCATCTCCCTAGTCCTCCTTGTGGTGTTTGTTTGCTTGTTTGTTTGTTTGTAACGTGCATGTGTGCATGCATGCATTTGTGCAGTATGCTCTTCAAGGTTAGAAGCATCGGATTCCTCTAGAGCTGGAGTTACAGGTGTAAGCTGCTGGACATGGTGCTAGGAACCAAACTTGGGTCCTCTGGAAGAGCCCTATGTGTTCCTAACCACTGAGCTGTTTCTCTAGCCCTTTTTTTTTGTTTTGTTTTGTTTTTGTTTTTGTTTTTACAAGACAGGGTTTCTCTGTATTGTTTTGGAGGCTGCCGGTCCAGCCCGGCCTCGAACTCACAGCGATCCGCCTGCCTCTGCCTCCCGAGTGCTGGGATTAAAGGCGTGTGCCACCACCGCCCGGCTTCTCTAGCCCATTTTTAATTCTGCAAAATTTCAGGTGTTTAAAAAAAGAGTGTAGAGAATGCTATATGAAACCCATGTACCCATCATACGAATGCAATGATAGTCAGTTAATGGCCGGTATTGAGTCTTGCTTTGAATCTTAAGTTGTAAAAATTTCAGTTTTTTCAGTGTGGTATTTTAATTGTATTCTGATGTTCCTGAGACTTACAATAAAGTTTGTTTTGATCAGAGGGTGAAGCTAACTACTAGCTGACCAAAATTAACCACATAGGTTTTGGAGGACTGAGGACAGATAGACACAGGAAGTAGTAGGACAAAGCTCAGAGAGGTTCTTGGCCCTTTGGGATGGAGGAATGAGAGAGATAGGATGTCACCGGTCACTGCACTGCTACTTCTCTGATCACTCAGATTCTTATCCCTCCATCTGATTCCGGAGTTTTTATTGATAAAGAATAATTAAGTAAACACATTATCTTTTCATCTTTACGTAGTTTAAGCACCTTGGGAACGCTACAGCATCACCAAAGAGTTTGCCACGTGTAAAATCAAGGAGTAAGGACTATGACCCATACAGTGATGGTGAGACCTGCAATCAGGAATCAGAAAATAATTTTGACAAAGAGCTTCAGCAATACATACAAGCCAAAGAAATGGCAAATGCTGCTCAACAGTCAGAACTTCCTGAAGAATCTGTGAAAAAAGAGGGAGCAGAAGGCACCCAGCAGAGTAAGCCATAAACTGTTTTATCACTTAGAGTTTGTATGCAGAAGTTGTCCTGGCTGTCTGTATTTGGACAAGTGATTTTTCACCTGCACTTTTATCTTATGGTGAGAAGGTGACTTTTGTTGCTATTTATGCTAGATATGAACTTGTTTGATGTGAGACATAACCTGAGACTTGGTTGCTTGATATGTAAGCTCTCAGTCTGTAGGAGACACTGGCACCTGCTAGTGGGTTACCAAAGGCTGTGTCTATCTCAAAAGTCTGAATCACTGGCTTCTACATGCATGAAGGTTGGGCTGTACCTGCTTATATGGCCCTTGTTTAAAGAATTGACTGGCTGGATGATTGTGTATGTGTGTATTTATATATTTTTAAGTCTTGGGGATTGATCACCCAGGACTCGTGTATTTTTTTTTTTTTTTTTTTTTGGTTTTTACGAGACAGGGTTTCTCTGTATTGTTTCGGAGGCTATCGGTCCAGCCCGGCCTCGAACTCACAGAGATCCGCCTGCCTCTGCCTCCCGAGTGCTGGGATTAAAGGCGTGCGCCACCACCGCCCGGCAGGACTCATGTGTATTAAGGAAACATTCTACCATACAACCATATCCCCAGCATAGAAATATATTTCTTTTTAAAATCTCTTTACATTTTTAATTGAAACGTATTACTTTAAATTACTAAAACAGAATTTAGACATAGATATGAGGACACATAACAATTTGTAAATGATTTTTTTTTTTTTTTTGAGACAGGGTTTCTCTGTGTAGCTCTGGCTCCCGGCTGTCCTGGAACTTGCTCTGTAAGACCAGGCTAGCCTCAAACCCAGAGATCCGCCTGCCTCTGCCTCCCAAGTACTGGGATTAAAGACATGCCACAACTGCCTAGCATAAATGAAATTCTTAATGCTTTACATTTACTGTGATTTCCTCCAAGTGTTTTCTTCTATTCGGGATACAGCTATAGGTAAATTTAGTGTATATAGAATGTTTTCTCTTTTGGCACACGTGAGTGAGTGTGTGTGTGTGTGTGTGTGTGCATGTGTGATACATTTTGCGATGAGGTCTCATGTAGCCCAGGTAGAGTCTGAAACTTGCTATGTAATTGAAGATAGCCTTGAAGTTGCCATTCTCCAACCCCAGTTTCCTCAGGTGAGGCTTACAGTTATTTAGCTGGCTGTATATTGCTGTGATAAAACACCAAGACAGCACCTTGTGGAGGAAAGGGTTTCATGTTATACTTCCAGGTAACAAATAGTCCATTACAGAAAGCAGCAAGGACATAGAGGTGGGAAATGAGGCAGAGACCAGGGAGGGCTGCTGTTCACTGGCTTGCTCCCATGACTTGTTCAAACTGCTTTCTTACCATCCAGGTCCATCTGTCCAGCCACATTTAGCTGGCTCTCACATCAATTATTAATTAGGAACATGCCCTGCGCCATCTGATGGAGTCATCAGTTGAGATGTCCCTTCCCAGATAATTCTAGTTTGTGTCAAATTGACAAAAAACTAGTGAGCACACAAGTATGTGCTGCCATCCTCAGCTCTGTGACACATTTTCAAAGGAAAATCTATAATATATGAGATCGTTTTAAACCGCTGTAGTTTTTTTCAACAGATGTTGTGGCAGTTCTAATTAGATCAGTCAATTGCTGATGTCTTCAAAATGTTCTGACCTGTGGTGTGCAAGATTGATTTAATTAATTATCTTGCTTTTCCCTCCCATCCAGCACTTCTTTTCAAAACAATGCATGTGAAATTAGGATGTTAGAATTCTCTGTTTGCTTCTTAACAGCAAAGCTTCTAGAGAGTCAGGTCACCATCCTGCCAATCTTCCTTCACTGAGGTGCAGGTTCCCTGAATTATCATAAGGCATATTTCTGAAGGTTGAACTGATCTCATACCTCTATGATATTTTAAAAAATGAACTTGTTTGTTTTTAGTTGCCAAACAGAACAATAAGAAATCTAAAGCCGGTCACAAGAAAGTTAAACAGAAGAAGATGAAGCGAAAGTGGCCTGGGACTGGAAACCAAGGGCCGAATGTTTCCCTGAAGAAGAGTGGCTCCCAAGAAAAGGTACAAGAGTTGTGCGTGTAGGAGCGGCCTGCATGCTTCCTGCCTGTTACCTTTCTCTTCAGTTTCAACAAGTGCTCAGTGATGTGGAGAGGCAGAGCATCCCACTAACGAGGGTTATGTTGACTCGATGGTCTTTCTTCTTTTTTTTTTTTTTTTTGGTTTTTCGAGACAGGGTTTCTCTGTGGCTTTGGAGGCTGTCCTGGAACTAGCTCTTATAGATCAGGCTGATCTCGAACTCACAGAGATCCGCCTGCCTCTGCCTCCCGAGTGCTGGGATTAAAGGCGTGCGCCACCAACGCCTGGCGATGGTCTTTCTTCTTAACTACTGCTTCCTTCCCTCTCAGCATGGGCTGCCAGCACCCATCTCTAGCCTCAAGGATTTCCCTGTTGGTCCAGAGTACAGGTGTGCCATCCCTTTGGCCTCTGTGTATTGGACCATCACTAACTGTGGAAGACTGGGGCAGAAGGGAAGAGCCTCGGAGGCAGTTGAAAGGCCACGTTGTCCTGCACAGTTGATATACCGCAGCCCCTCAGGCTTTGGGTAGATTCCTTCTGGAAATTAAAACAGCTATTTCTGAGCACTGATCTTACCAGATCTCCCAGTTGTGCTCCCGGTTCTTTGACTGTGCTTTGTAAATGTTCTTCTTTGATGTGCATTTGTACTCAGCATAGGATAATAAGTGACTGCTCTTCCGAAGACCTTGAAACTAAATGGCAGGCTTTTTACTCAGCTATGTCGCAGGGTTAAGAGTTTGGAGAGGTTAAAATACTAGAAATACCACGTATTACCTAAACATGGTTGTGGATGCTTGTTGTCCCAACTGCTTAGGAGTGGCAGCAGGAGTTCAAGACCATCCTGGGTACCAGACAGTGAGAATCCATATCATAAAAAGGGAGGAGGAATACCAAATGTTAAAGATTGAAATAAACTTATATAAGAGCTGTCTCTTTTTCCATATTTTGCAAATGGGGAATCTAAACTCAGTTCAAATCACTGCTTATTCCACACAGGGCCAAGTCAAGGCTGCTTTGCTCCTCTCCTCTTCTGTGTCTTAACATTGGCTCTGATGATTCTTCACCCAGAACTGACAGCCCTTCTACATGAAGAGCAAATTTTAAACAAATGCTAGACTCTCATAGCATAATTTGATTTGAGCTGAGATACACATACGACTTTTATGGCCTTAATAAATCAGTAACTTGATATTCTTGTAAAATAGGCCACTTAGGAGATGGGTTAGTTCTTTAATTGTATATACCATATTTCTAAAACTGTATTTATTACTTAGGCATACAGAAGCAATACAGTCTGTCACAAGTTAATACATTAAAAATAGTTTTTGTTTCTAAAGTGTTAAAACAGATTTTAAGGTTCTCATTTCTTTTTAAATATTAAGCTGGAAAACTATCATTGGAACTAGAGCCTTTTCGCTGCTTCTTGTTTGTCATGAGCCCTAGCTTTGTCTCCATAACCCTGAAGCTTTCTGTTGTAGACTTCTTTTTATTACAGATAATAAACTTTCCTTTTTTGGTGTTTTATTCATTTTTATAAAGTAAGGACAAAGCACAATAGATATTCAAATTTTACAAGCACTAGTACTCAGTGGTTGAATGCTGTTGAAACTGATGAGCACTTATTTTATGAACTGATAGATTACAGTCCAACTTGAAAGCTCTTTTAGGGGAGACACTGTTTTGAGCCAGGATCTTATAGCCCTGCTTCATCCTTGGAATGCTGAGATGACACATTGTGTCAGCATGCCCAGCTAAAAGATGCACATTCTAATGTATTAAAAGTAGCTTAAAGCAGTTTTGTAAAACAGAATGAAATATTTAATTTTTCTCCTTTTTTTTTTTTTTTTGGTTTATTAAAGACTGATGGACCTGAAGAGAAGCAGCCACGTGTAAGGATGAGTCAAGGCTTCATCAATCAGCACACAGTGGAACGTAAGGGGAAGCAAGTTTGTAAATATTTCCTTGAAAGGAAATGTATTAAGGTATGAGAGTGTGTAAACAAGAACATACTACACTGTGTTTGTAGCATAAGTCTACGAGACCTGCTGTCTCTGTTTGAGCCTTTACAAACATAACCTCTAAAGTTTTAAAAATTAGTGATGTGCCACTTTGGGTTTTTAAAGGTAATTTACTAAAGATGTAAGAATTTTTAAAAGTTCAGTGTGTTGTCATGTGCTTAGGCACTACCTTGTTAGGGTTCTGCCTGGACTCGCTTGCTAATTTAATTCAGTAGAAGTTAAGTTGCAAAGGTCTGACTGTGATTCGTAACTTGTACTTAATTTTACACCCAGGGAGACCAGTGTAAGTTTGATCATGATGCGGAGATAGAGAAGAAGAAGGAAATGTGTAAGTATTATGTACAAGGGTACTGCACCAAAGGCGAGAACTGCCTGTACTTGCATAATATCCTTTACCACAAGATTCCCTTCATTCTTCTTGTAACATGAACATTTAAGTAAAGCACAGCTGTTGCTATAACAAAGTGTTCTAAGCCCAAGTTGATATCAAAGTGTTTGCAGTGTATATACTTTTACATAGGAAAGAAAGGATTCTTCACAAAACCTCCTAAATGTAAGTCCATTCAGTTCAGCCTGGCTGGTGGAAGGTTCATGAGACAGACAGGTCAGGCCCAGGAAGATGTCAGTTTCTGTTGTGATCATGTATAATTGAGTCTGTAGTCATATACCATAAAAGTCTCAGTTTTTTGTTTTTTGTTTTTTTCCGAGACAGGCTTTCTCTGTATTGTTTTGGAAGCTATCCTGAAACTTGCTCTGTAGACCAGGCTGGCCTCAAACTCACAGAGTTCCGCCTGCCTCTGCCTCCTGAGTGTTGGGATTAAAGGCATGTACCACCAACGCCCAGCTGAAGTCTCAGATTCTAACTTGATGTTTTCTGGATAATAATGTTATATAAATTAGTTCTACTTTAACAAACATAATTCATTTTTTAAAATCCAGATTTGTAGAACATACTGACTGTTGTCATTGACTTTAATTTACCCCATCCTCAAAGAACATTTTAAAATAACCACAATTCTCAAGGTAATTAAGACACATTTCTTTCATCTGTGAATGAAACTTACCTGTGGCCCACTATGAGAATATATATGAGGGAGAAAAAAATTGTCTTTCTGAAATGAGAACTTTTATTATCTAATATTTTAAATAGGAAACTCAGTGATTTTACTGGTAGAAAAGATTTTAGAGCCGGGCGTTGGTGGCGCACGCCTTTAATCCCAGCACTCGGGAGGCAGAGGCAGGCAGATCTCTGTGAGTTCGAGGCTAGGCTGGACCGACAGCCTCCAAAATAATACAGAGAAACCTGTCTCATAAAAAACCAAAAAAAAAAAAAAGATTTTAGAGGAAAAATAGTTATTAAATTAATATGGAATTATTTCAGTTGAATTGAAATTGTTATTTCCCTTAACACTGTATTACATGAATACCCTTGCAAGTTTTATCACACAGGAGCAAAATGTTATCAGGGCGATCACTGTAATTTTTCTCATGCCCCGCTGACTGCAGAAACACAGGAACTGCTGGCTAGAGTAAGTACTGTGTTATCTTATTTGGACCAAGATGACATTTAAAGAGAGAGAGCTTCGTGGGCTAGTATATGATAATCTAAGTTTACTTAGGTCTAGAAAACTATTTTTATCTTATTGTCACTGAAAGGAAGATTAATATTCATTGATAGTATGAATTAGAATGTTCTTAAATTCAATATTATTCTAGATTTACAATTTTTATGATTTACTATGTGTGTGCGCGCAGATTTCTGGCAGTCAGAAAAAAACAGAGTTGGTTCTTCATCATGTGGGTCCCTAGGATCAGACTCAGGCTGTTTCACTTGGCAGCAGCCACTTTTACTCTCTGAGCCGTCGCTTTGCTCTAGTTAGCAACTTATCAAGATAAGCAAAGAAAATAGAGGCATAGTGTAGTCCTCTTGATACAAGCTCAGAAGGAAATCCAGAGTCATTGTTGACAAACATTTTAGCTACATCAACAACTAGTCAGGTAGTTGGTCTTCCGATATTCTTAGTCTCTGAGAAAATGTTATTGTGAAGTTACGGTCATTAACATTCTTTTCCCATAGATTAGGTGAGGTTCGTGTCTCCAAAATTAAATTTAAATAAATGTGGAAATTAAAAAATAATCCTAAAACTGCCTGTGGCAAAGGTGCCCTGAGAATAGGCCAGTATGAGAAAGGGAGGTACTTACTAGCAGACACTTTTATGTCTAAAATAGAGAAGGTGTCTGTGGAACTAGAAATCACACCAAATACTTATGTGAAATAGTCTTTTATTTCTTGTTGTAGTACCACATATTAGTAGATAGGACAGTGTAAATAGTAGGTATTAATGAATTTTTTTAAAAAATCACATTTTCTTTTTTGTTTAGGTTTTGGATACTGAAAAGAAGTCATGTAAATAGACTAAAAAGGTAAAAGTGACTCTGCTAATATTCTTTCTTATTCTCTGAATCATCTCTTGACATTGATATAACAGCATTAATAGAGGTTTTTCTGTCTTTTTCAATGAAAGCATCTTTTCCTTCTTTCTTCAATAAAAATACGTACATGCCTGCTTCTCTGTCTGGGTTTGCCTGCCATGTGTTTTTAAAAATTCTCCTCTTGAGTTCTGTTTGTCTGTCTGTCTGATAACATTTTATCCTATGACTGTGTTATGACTAGGTATCATTAATGGAACTTTAGACTATTTTCAGTTTTTAAAATGCACATTGTTACTATAACTCTTTATAAATATCTCTTGCTATAATTTGCAGCAGTTACTCAGGGTCTATACCAAGTAGAATTAATGGATTGGTTTAAGGTAACACAATTTTTCTAAAGTGTTTTGTGACAATTTGCACTCCTGTAAGTCATAGAATTTCTGTCCCACGCTTGTTAATACTTTGTATTTTAATCTTTCCCTAACTTAGTAGATGTAAAAACGGTGTCCCGTAGCTTATTTGCATGAAATACAGCATCTTCAGCCTACTGGCCAAAGGGTTCTGTTTGCGTTGCTTTTATGTGTTCTTCATACTTTGTGAAGAGTGTCGGGTCGTTTCCCATTTTGTAAGCTGTCTTTCCTTTTATCTTTTGTTTTTGTTTTGGTTTTCCAAGACATGGTTTCTCTGTTTAACAGCCTCGGCTGTCCAGGAGCTAGCTCAGTAGACCAAACTGGCCTCTAACATACAGAGCTCTGCCTGTCTCTGGCTCCCTAGTACTGGAATTAAAGGCATGTGCCACAATGCCAGGCTTTTTTTGAGGTAGGGTCTCGCCATGTGTTATTTTCCAATGTTTTAGTTATTCAAGAGCTTTTAGATATTTTAGATTCAGATTCTATATATGATTTTTTGTTTTTGTTTTTAGAGACAGGATTTCTTTCTGTAGCCTCCCAGGTACTAGGATTAAAGGTGTGCACCACCACCACTCCACCTATATATGAATTTTTAAGAAATTTATTTCAATGGGCAGTGGTGACTCGCATCTTTAATCCCAGCACTAGGGATTAAACTCACTCTGTGAGTTCAAGGACAGCCTGGTCTACAGAGCAGTTCTAGGACAACTGGGGCTACAAAGAGAAACCCTGTTTCAAAAAAAAGAAAGAAAGAAAGAAAAGAAATTTCTTTCTTACTTTTTGTTTTTTTTTTTCAAGTATATAGTTATAACTTGATTGCATTGAACATGAGTATTGTTTTAGGTAATAGTAACAATTTAACAGTATTATCTTCATATTTGTGAGCCTTTTGTTGTTTTTAGTGTGCATGAGTTTTTTGCTTGAATGTATGTCTGTGACCTGCACAGAGGTCAGAAGAGTATGTTGCTTCCTCTGAAACTGGAGTTACATGTAGTGAGCTGCTGTGTGAGAGGTGGGAATCAAACCTGGGTCCTCTGTCAAGAACAAGTGTTCTTCACCATTGAGCCAACCCTCCAGACTCCATATTGTGAAATTTTTGATGTAACCATAAATGTGGGTTTTTTTTGTTTGTTTGTTTGTTTTTCAAGACAGGGTTTCTCTATGGCTTTGGAGATTGTCCTGGAACTAGCTCTTGTAGACCAGGCTGGTCTCTAACTCACAGAGATCCGCCTGCCTCTGCCTCCCGAGTGCTGGGATTAAAGGCATGTACCACCACCACCTGGCCATAAATGTGTTCTTACATCTCCATTCAACTCTATTATTGTTAATATAGTTTTGTTTTGTTTTTTGTTGTTGTTGTTGAGATGGTATCTTTCTATGTAGTCCTGGCTGTCCTAGAGCTCAATGTGTACACCAGGTTAGTCTTGAACTTACAGCTTCGCCTGCCTCTGCCTCCTAAGTGTTGTATTAGAGGCTCAGTATAGCTTTTTTTAAAATGTGATTTTGTTTTTTCTTTTTCCATGTTTTCTGGATTTTGGTTCAGTTCTTGCCTTAGATTTTGCATTTAAATTCAGGGTGTTCCTTCCATTTTCCCCAAGAATATCCTAACTCATTTTGGATTTTATGCTTTCTTCTGCTGCATGGATAGTTTTGGGGGGGGAGGTGATTAAGTTGGTAATTTTTACAAGCTGATGTGTTTATTCTCTTCTGCAGCTTGTATAAAGGACACGTCTATTCCTGGTCAAGACTTTTGAAGACTGGCAACTTGGAATAGTTGGAAGGTTCCTCAGTTCACGCACCTTCCTGTGTGGTTGTGATCACGTGCAGCTCCCAGATCTAGCACTCAAGTGAAGGGTGGCTCTGCACTGGGGCGCTCCAGCTCCTGGGACGCGAGAGGAGCACGTGCATGCTGACTGCTGATGAATGCGGTGCTGTGCTAGGTTGCAGAAGTCTCTTCCAGTCGAGATTTCCGTACAGTTTTATACAAAGAGGCAGAGAGGGGCTAAATGAGGATGGGAGAAGTATAGGAAGGGTGGCGATAGAGACGTGCCAGGGGACAGTGGGGTGATAAAATAAGTTACACCTCTACATGTCATTAAATGCTTTGCACAACATTTCGAACAATAATTCAAAGTTCCATTTTATGGTTTAGCATAGAATGCGGTTTTGTGATCTTTTTAAAAACAATTTTCTGCTGGATATCTGTTTTTAATTATTCCTGTTATAAATAAAGTGGGATAATATCTCTTGCTATGGTGTTTTCATACTTGATGTTCTTAACCTTTTTTTTGTTTGTTTTTCTTTTGTTTTTGTTTTTACGAGACAGGGTTTCTCTGTATTGTTTTGGAGGCTATCGGTCCAGCCCAGCCTCGAACTCACAGAGATCCGCCTGCCTCTGCCTCCCGAGTGCTGGGATTAAAGGCATGCGTCACCACCGCCCGGTGATGCTCTTAACCTTGTTGTTAAAATATAAGAGTATTTACCGCCAGGCGTTGGTGGCGCACCCTTTAATCCCAACACTCGGGAGGCAGAGGCAGGAGGATCTCTGTGAGTTCAAGGCCAGCCTGGTCTACAGAGCGAGTTCCAGGATAGCTTCCAAAACAATACAGAGAAACCCTGTCTCAAAAAACCAAAAAAAAAAAAAAAGAGTATTTACCTTGGGCCAGTGAGTGCTCTGCGGGTAAATGTGCTTGCTGTGCAAGTCTGATAACCAGTTTGACCCTCAGATTCCTCCGTGTGTATGTTATGGCACATATGTGCCTGTATTCATATTTGTCATTCGCACGACGCGTGCATGTGCATACGTACATGCAGCATGCGTGTGTGTGTGTGTGTAACACAACATACAACATTTTCCAAGTATAGATATAATTCTAAATATATTTTATACAGTGGAATACATGCTATTAGACAAATACCCTAAGACTTACTGTTTAGGACCCCTCTGACATAGAGTTCATCATTCTATCAACTCTACTTAGATACCTGTTGAAAATACCAGCTAAGATTATTTTGGCTGTAATGGGAGACTACCAAATCAAGAAATTGCTCTTGCTACAAGAATCAGATAAGCTTAAGAAGGGAGGATACTGGAATAGATCCCTAGAAGCTCAGGACATTGTCTGAGAGTTAGCCTTTCCTCAATGACCTGTTGCCACCTGCTGTGTTGACTGGTCTCCTCCCCAGCTGTGGCTAAAGAGCAGGACAGGACAGTGCACTAGAAGCTGCTAGATAAAAATTACAGAGGAGGCTTCGAGGTAGTGGTGCACACATTTAATCCCCAAACTCAGGAGGCAGAGGCGGGGGATCTCTGAATTCGAGGTCAGCCTGGTGTACAAAGTTCCAGGACAGCCAGAGCTGTTACACAGAGAAACAGCACTTTGAAAGGGTCTGTTACAAACCGTTTGGTAATAAGTTGTGGGAAGGAGTAAGGTCGCCGCACACAGGCTAGATTCCTTTTATCTTCTCTGAAGACTTTGTTTGTTTGTTTGTTTTTTGTTTTTTTGTTTGTTTGTTTGTTTTACGAGACAGGGTTTCTCTGTATTGTTTTGGAGGCTGTCGGTCCAGCCCGGTCTCGAACTCCCTCTGCCTCTGCCTCCCGAGTGCTGGGATTAAAGGCGTGCTATGAAGACTGTTTTTAACTTTAAGGAATTGAAAATGATCTGTGTAGTTTATTTAAGACTGAGAAGAACTTGTAGAAGTTTGTAACCATCTCACTTTTCAATGAAGTGTTTTAGAGGCAAGCATACCTGTCGATGAAATCTGTTAGTTTCTTTTCAGCCCTGTACATGCACACCAGACTGTCTTGCCAAATTACAGTGTGTCTTCTGTTAGCCATGGTTCCTGAGTAGGTTTCCTAATGCACAATTTCAGCCATGCCTTGGCTGTGTAACACCACCCTGAATGAAGCTACACCTGTCTGCCTAGTTTTTAGTGTTCTATAAAGAGTTTGACCATCACAGCCATAGTCATGTAAAAACTGATTCATCATTAAGAATTATAGTCTAGCCAGGCAGAGTAAATTTGAGACCAGTCCTGGTCTGCAGTCCAGGACAGCCAGAAATCCTGTCTCCAAAAACAAAAAACAAACAAACAAACAAAAATTGTAATCTAAGGCTAGAGAGATGGTTCAGTAGTTAAAAATTTGAATCCTAACACCCACATGGTGACTCAGCCATCTGGAACTCCATTTCCAAGGTATCCAATGCCCCCTTCTGGCCTCTATGGGTAGGTACTAGACAAATGGTGCACTGATAACACATGCAGGAAAACAGACAATTTTTTGGGGGGGGGGATGACTATATTTTTTAAATTGCAGTCTTAAAATGTGTGTTTATCTTCATTGGTCAATTTGATATAATAAAGCCCGAGGCTATGTGCTTTTATCACAGTGTTGGGGGCTGTGGTGGTTTGAATGAAAATGGCCCCCGAATACTCATGGGAGTAGCATTATTGGAGGTAGGTGTGGCCTCGTAGGAAGTGTGTCACGGGAAGTTTCAGAAGATCAAGCCAGACCTCACAGCTTGTTCTTCTGGCGGACTGTCAATCCAGATGTAGAACTCTAAGCTACTTCTCCAGCACCATGTCTGCCTGTGTGGGGCCATATCCCACCATGATGATGATAGACTAAACTCCAGACTAAAAGCCAGCCCCAGTTAAATGTTTTCTGTTATAAAAGTTGTCATGGGGGGCTGGAGAGATGGCTCAGAGGTTAAGAGCACTGACTGCTCTTCCAGGGGTCCTGAGTTCAATTCCCAGCAACCACATGGTGGCTCACAACCATCTATAATTCGATCTGGTGCCCTCTTCTGTCATGTAGGCAGAACACTGCATGTGATAAATAAATAAATCTTAAAAAAAGAAAAAAAGTTCTCATGGTCTCAGTGTCTCTTCACAGTAACAAAAACCTTAACTAAGACAGTGGCTGAAAGCCCATTTGCTTGGCCTCTGATGAGAGTGTTGTCATCACGTCTCCCCTTTACCCCAGTCTCCCAACTATGACTCAACATGGCAGAAAAGCATAAAGGAAATAGTGTATAGGAAAAATGTATAGAGTAGCCAAGTGTGTAAGGAGACCTTGCTTATTTTATGTGTGTATGTACCTGAGTGAATATATGTATACCATGTGCATGCAGGAGCCCATGGAGGTCAGAAAGCGGTATCTGGAACCGAAGTTACAGTTGTCTGTGTATCACCACCTCCTAGCTTCTGGCTGCTGGGATTAAAGGTGTGTGCCTGGCTTCTATGGCTTGTGGCTGACTTTTCTTTCCGAATCCTCGGGCATGCTTTAATAAGTCATAAATAATATCTCACCACACTGCTGAGCCACTGCTCCAGCTCCAGCACTACTTTTTAAGTGCTGACTACTCAAGAGTAGCAGTATGTCCCTCTCGTCCAGTCTAAGCACTTGGGAAGCACAGACAAGCTGGTCCCTGTGGGTGCCAGGCCAGCTAGGGTCTATGTAGTGAAACTCACAACAACCCACCCCGACCCCCAGAGCCAGGCTCTTTTGGTATGGTTACCAGCTACTTCTATCCAGGTGTACAGTGAGAAATGAAATTTCTTTGAAGCAAAACAGAATGTGGTAAGAAGTCTGCTATTTGGTAAAGAAGGGGTTTCAAACTCCTTTAAGGTTTTAGATAAGGCAACTGTAATGACTACAGAGAAGTTGTGCACTTTGTATTGAGACAACAGAAAAGGTGGCTTAAGGTAGAGACTTCCCATTGATGGCTCCAAAATGTAAGAATGCAGGTGCATTTGAAATACCGTCAATTAAAAAGAGCATAGGCCCTAAAGACTGCTGTAGTCATGGTCCAAGATGGCCAGACTGTGGCTACCTGTGGAGCTGGTGGTAGGTAGGACTTGGTATCCATACGACAACTTTATAGGTAGCCTGAGAACAAGTGTTAAGGAGCTATGGAGGTGAGCACCTCCATAGAAAAGCCTGTGAGGCCAGTGAATGTGAGGCAGGGTCAGATTCCCAGCAAAGAATCCTTGCTAGGGGAATGTGCCTTGGTGTGGAGATACCGAGATGTCAGAAATCCTAGCATCATGGGGCACATGCTGAGGAAAACTGCAGGCTCTACGTGGAGCTGGCCTGGAAGAAGCCACATTGCAGCCACCGATGTAAGAGGTGGAGCTGCCAAAGCCCGCTGGTGCCCAGGTGATGCCACTGCGTTTCGGATGCCAGGTGTGGAACTTTGGGTTTCAGCATTTCCCCTTCTGTGTTGTAGTTTTGTTTTATCCTACTCTTTCCTTGTGCCCAATTCCTCCCTTTTGGGATGGGAATTTTGTTCTTTGCCTTTTGTGGGGGGAGGTTTTGAGACAGGGTTTCTCTGTAGCGTTGGAGCCTGTTCTGGAACTCACTCAGTAGACCAGACCAGGCTGGACTTGAACTCACAGAGATTCACCTGCCTCTGTTTCCCGAGTGCTGGGATTAAAGGCACACACCACCACCACCTCCTGGCTGTTCTTTGCCATTTTATATTGGAAATCTGTGACTTACCTTTTTGGTTTTCTGGAGCTTGTGGCTAAGTGGCTACCTTGAATCTCAATAGAGACTTTGGACTTCAATTTGGAACTAAAGCATTTTTATGTTTTCAGATGGCCATGAGTTTTGGCAGGACCAAGGCCAAATGCTATGTTTGGGATCTGGAATGTTCCCCACAGGCTCAGAGTGCCCAGTTCCCAGCTTGTGCTGTTTAGAGGGTTGTGGAACCTGACAGAAGTAGATCACTAGGTCTGGCCTCTAAATGTTATACTGTCCTGGCCTCTGGTTTCTGCCTGCATCGCTACTTCTTATCTGCTCCCGTATGAATGAGCCTCTTTGTCATGCACTCCTATCGTTGTGGACGGAACTGCTTACTGACATGCCTTCCTTACTATAATGGACACAACTGAAGTTGTGAGCCAAAAAAAAAAAAAAAAACACCCTTCCTCCCTTAAATTGTTTCAGTAGGATGTTTTGTTATACCAATGAGAAAAATAATTAATGTATTTGTCAATTTCTCTAAAAGCACTGAGCACAATTCATAAATAAATGTGGTGGTTAATGCCTTTTGAGATCAAGAGGCTGAAGCAGGAGCATAACAAGTTCAAGACCAGCCTGGCCTATATCTGAGTCTTGCCTGGATTTGGGTTGCATAGGAAGGAAGGAAGAGAGAACAGAAGAGCTTGGGGTGGGCTGTGGCTGTCCCTCAGGGGCTAAACACTTGTCTGGTATTCACAAAGCTACTGAAGTCATTAGATTTG